CATTCCCTGAGCTGCTGTTTTGTCTTGTTGAATGTGTCCTTTGCCTTAGAGAAGCTTTCAATTTGCAGAGATTCAATTTATTAATTGTCAGTCTCAGTATCTGTGCTACTGCTGTTATGTCAAGGAAGTGATATCTTCTAACAATTCATTCAAGGGTACTTACCACTTTCTCTTCTAAAACATTCAGTGTAGCTGAAAATGAAGGAAGTTGCTACGCACAATGGTAAAATATACAACATTCCATGTTTCTGAAATAACTAAAAAACTAATTTTCATTATGAAAACTTATTGGTTCCAAAATAGTTTTCAGTAGTGTCATTAGATTACTATTCTTAGATTATTAATTTAATAAATTAATGACTCCTTTGAAATTTACATCAAAATTTGTTTATTTAGAAGAAAGTTTCTTGACCAGAGAGATATCTTTATAGGAACATAAACTAAAGATTAAGGATTCTTATTTTTTCCATATGGCTTTCCTTTTGCTGTGTTGGACACTTTAAGGCAATTTTTGAATTTGTACCTTGCAGAAGAACTAGTCTTTTTTACCTTGGTTTAGAATGGTTCTAAATAGATTATAGTAAACAACTGTAGCTCTATGTTTAAAGAAGTGACTCAAAACAAAATCCCTTGCATTGTTAACAGTAAAATCCTCTAGGCCTGTCAGTTAATATATATAATAATGAAAATTTAAAGTTAAGTTCTATAATTTCTGGCTTTTAAACCCTAATTTTTAAAAACTCCATCTGTGAAGTTTAGAGAAATGTAGCTAAATTATTTGGAATGTGACACATGCACTTCTATACTAACATTGTCTTAATGATTCTGTGTTATAGTGACCATTTGGAATAGAAGCCATGGAGTTTAATATGGTAAATTATAATTTCTGCATGAAATGCAGAGTTTTGAAACTAAAAATAAGAAGTCAATCACAGAATGAGAATTAGGTAAATATTTACCTATATCTTCTTTCATAACTCATGTTTATTAGCTGTATTCAGACATTCCTCCTCCTTGAGTAATTAGCTGTTCTTTTTATCTTTTCTGTAAGCTATACTGTTTACACCCTCCCCAACCTTGACACACACACATACTCAACATTAGGCTAGATTCTTCATGGGGGATATCCTTCTGTAGGTATGTTTCTCTTGTTGGTTGATGAATAAACACAGTTTGGCTAATAGCCAGTAGAGGCAAGAAGATAGCAAAGGCTAGGAGACAAGTAGAATGTTGTCATGGGAGGCAGAGAGGCACCACAGAGATGCCATGTAGCAAAGGAATGAGTAAGAGGTCAGGACCTTTCTCCAGTAAGCTGATACCATGTAGAAATATAGAGATTAATAGAATGGGAAAATAATTAATTTCGAGTTAGCAAATAAGAAGCACTATCTATTGGCCAACAATTTTATAATTAATGTAGCATCCATGTGTTTATTTGGGGCTGAGGGTGGGTGGTACCTGGCAGAACAAGAATGCTCTAGAATCAGATTCTGTCTATGTTGATGAAATGTGTTTTATCCCTTCAAAGTTTGTGTCACTCCATTTAATAGAGTATATTCTATATCCATTTATTTCCAGGGAAATTTGTACATTTTATATTCTTCAGAGATGAAATATATCCCAATTACATATAGCACAAACACATTATTGACCAATCTGCTAATGAACATCTATGTCAGTTATAAATCTTGGTTTTAGGAAACAAAGCAGTAGTAAACTTGGGGGTACAAATGTCTCTTTGGACACACACACACACACACACAGACACACACACACACACACACACACACACACACACAGTTTCTACGATGGATGAATTACTTTGCTTTACCACCCACTATGACCTGTGAGTAAAGACTGCATTCTCTCAATGTCATCTCCATCATCTGTTGCCAGAAGTATTCATGGCAGCCAATGTTACTGGGGTGAGTTGGTACCTCAAAGTTGTTTTAACTTGAACTATCATAAAGTCTAAGGATATGGCCTACTTTAAGAAAATATTCATTAGCCATTTGTGTTCTTTCTTTTTGTCAAACCACATACTTGATATTCCATATTTTTCATCTAATTAGACAGATTCTTCCTACTGGATATTTCAAGGCATTTCCAGGAGGTCTGATTGTGGCAATAAAATAAGGCATCTACTTGACTGTTTGCATTTTGTTTTTTATCTCTTTTTTTCTACCAATAAGTGTCTTAATTTAGATCTCTATAATGCATTTAAGTTAATTATTTATTAATTAGTTATTTATCAATTAACTTCCTGACTGATGTTTACAAAGTATATTTAGCTCTCTTATTCTACTATAATTACACTCACATCTCCCAATTTGTTTTGTGATGACAAAAATATATCAAAAAACTTCTTCCTAATATTATCTATTCACTTTTTCACGGTACTAATTATATGAAATGGTTATTGTTACTATTTTGTATAATAGCTACACTTTTAATATTTTGTTTACCTGTTTCAATATGGGTGTGTGTTGGGGGGTGTTGCCAATTAGGCAATCACTTACCGCCATAGTCCCTGCTAGCCCCACATGGCATGCCCTCTGCATGAGTCCCACATCTTTTCCAAAAGCGGGTGCCATCCGCCAGCCTAGGAGAGGCCTACTGCCTCTGCATCTCTGTTACCCCACAATCCCTACTGTGATACCAGTGTTTCTCAACTCAGTCCTGTTCTCACACTTGGTTTAAATTTTCATCCACCAAACGGGACACCATCTCCTTTGTTCTCTGGTTTGCTCATGGGTACCTCCTCCTTACATCCCCATGCAGTGTCCACCATGGCCCGTGATAGGTACATCCTTCCTAGAGTCCAGAAGTTCTCCTATCTGTCTGTGGATTCTCTCCTTCGCTCAATGGCATGCCAAACACTACCCCCAAGAGACTGCCTGCGCCCTGTGTCACATACAGTGTGCCCAGAGAATGCTCCCAGTCACCTAGAAATCAACACCTTCTGCAGTGTGACTCCCACAGCTTGCACCGAAAGGCCTCCAGTCTGTTTTACTTCTTGGGTACCTTGCTCAGCCACCCACTGCATTGGTGGAACATTAATGTGAGCACAACTCCTACTGCAGGAAGAGCTCCTGTCAGCTGCCAATACAGCCCTTTCACCCAGCAGGTCCCTGCAGTATGCTGGGTACTCTCTTCCCCTCCATTTAACAAATCCTGCTTACTCAATTTCTGTAAAAACCCCTTAGAATTTTTCAGATTCTATTTGGAATATACTGAGCATTCCACAAAGTATGTGAGTTTGGTGGTACAACTTTGTCACATGCTGGTCAAATATAGTTACTGCAAATTAAATTCTACACTTCATCCCAAAGTTACTGAAGGTGAGTTTTACATTCCAGTATCATAAGATGGCAATAAGTTTATCTACATTATACCAATGGTGGATAATCTTACAATGCAGAACATTAGGGATCACATTGCTTCTTATACTGATGACATACGGGGAGAGGATTACAACATGCCTCAAATATATTTGTTTCTAATGCTAACGATTAGCTTCACAAAGAATATAATTTTCAGAAAGAGAGGGCTTGATAATAGGGTAAAAAGCAGGGAAGTTGGAAAAACAATTGGTAAATTAGAGGCAAGAATTACAAATTTTGAAGACAACGAGGAAGTAATCAACAAAGTAGATTATATAGAACTGAAAAATAGCCACCTGCAAGACAGGATTTGTTTCATGACTGCTCTGCTTGCTTAATGACCAAAATAGGATCAATACAACATGACTTTACCAGACTAGTAGAAACAACTAATTCCATGTCTGATGACTCGATTAATAAAACGTAAAGACTGGAAGTTCACATTGGAAAACTTACAGAAAAAAATGTCTTCCAAGTCTGAGGATAATGACCAGTTCACAGACAGAACACTGTTCCTAGAAGGCAACTTACATGCCATTCAGAAAATATCTAACGAAGAAAATGTTAAATATTTGTAATAGCAAATAAATGATGAATCCATGAAACTTATTGATTCTATAAATCCTTACAAATTTATTTGTCCCAAGAATTTCAAGTTCTCAGAGATACAATGATAAACAGATTTCAGATCTCAGATGATCTCCAATCTGATACATCAGAATCAGACATACAAGGTACATGTCATGACAGAGGTTTTCCTACACCTCTTAGCCACAAGGAAGACATTCTTGAGGTTGTTATTCCCTCTCCTATGGTTTTTCCTGAACCTGTACTGAGAATCCAGCAAGAAAAAACACCCAAATATCTTTGTTGCTTATCAGTGGAACCAATGTAGATGAAAGGCTTGGAGGGAATCAAAGAAGCCACTGTTTCTCCTGATATTCACTTTCCCTATGTCAGAGAGTTACTGGACTCTTGGGCAAGTGTGAATAGAGTGACCCCTAAGCATTGGAATCAATTGGGCTCAGCAGTACATTGGCCATAAAAATCTGATTAGCAACATTGGAGGAATGCGTACTGAAGAGAAGTTTGAGGTCATCTTCAAGAATAATACATGCTGTTAACTGATGAGGCATCAATCCAGATTCAGTAAAAGTCTTTGTATCTGGTTATCAGAATGCCACATTCTCTTCCATGTTCTACTTTTCTAACTCCTTGGATGCATCTTCTTCCCTTCCCCCCACGAGAGAGAGCATTGTTTTAATATGTCTGCAAACCAAAGCCAGCTGTCTCAAAAATATTTTGTATTTTGCCCTTAATACTCTACTGCCATCAAAGTCATTCATACATTTATTCAGATGTTTTTAAACAACATAGCATATATTTTGAACAGTTTTGTGTTTTAAGGCATTATAGTTCAATCACTAGGTCTTATGAAATCCGTTAAATGAGTGAAAGATTATAGCAGACAATGTAGACAACAATAATATATATGATGCTGCTAGTTCACATCATTAGATGAAAGAGAGTCATTTTAAGAGATAGATGTTGCATGGTAATTAAATATTTGGTGTGTAGGAGTGAGTTATATATTAGTGAGTTAGAATTAATGAAATATCAGTTCTGAAAGGTGATTTTTCCCTGATATTTTGAAGAAATATTTCTTTCTGGTCTTACAAAAATTATGTAGCACTTTGGAACAAAGATGCATCCTAGCATCCCAGCACTGGAAGCCAAGATGGAGAAAATTTCCACAACAACCATGACCTTACCCTTTGTGCTATGGTATGCAGGGAGGAAAGTGATCCAGACACAGCAGAACAACAGCATGCTGAATGTCAAGAATTTGGCTTCATTGAATGTGTTAGGCAGATTCCTGGACAAGAAAGCTACAGTGAAGCTCGCTTGAGCCAGGCTGCCCAGGTATCCCAAGACACAGTAGAAGGCAGTTAATGAACCCTTGATACACACAATGATGATGTGGCCATGCTCAGAGTGGGCATCAACATTAACAGAGGGAGGAGAAGCTCCCAACCAGACTGAACAGATAATAACTTGGATGAGAGTACAGATGGCAATGATGTAGTTAGGTCCCCCTGCAACCAGAAAGTATCTCATTCTTCTTCCAGGGGCTGTGATTTTGAAAGCCAGGAGAACAGTCACTGTTTTGGCCAGCACAGTGGAAACAGCCACAGTGAATACAACTCCAAATGTGATTTGCTGCAAGATGCATGTAGCTGAGTTTGGATGGCCAATGAAGAGGAGGGGACAGAGGAAGCAAAAGAAGAGTGAGATGAGCAAGATGTAACTGAGCTTCCGGTTATTGGCCTTCACAATGGGAGTGTCGTGGTGCTTGACAAAGACTCCGAGAACCAAAGCTGTGAAAGCAGAGAAGCACAAGGCCATTAAGGCAAGAGTCATCCCCAAAGGATCTTCATAGCTCAGAAATATCATTTTTTTATGTATACACTGGTTGTGCTCTATGTTGGCATACTGGTTATCAGGGCACTTCACACACTGATCCACATCTGAGGAGGAGAGTAATATGTCATTAGTTCACTTACAGCCTTTTTATTGGCAGGGATTTCAATTTACGTGTACAGAAGAATCATTTAAATGTCTGAATTTTGTTGGTGAGGATGTCATAGAACGACCTTGCTGCCTAGAAACACTTCCATTTTATAATGCTTGTTATTTATATGAGGAACAAAAGCAAAGAATTTTTGTCTATTTAGATGTATTGATGAAATAACATGATCTGATATCAAGAAACACAGAATTTTTACAACATTTTGGGGGCTATGGAAAAATGACTTATATCAGTAAGTTTACAAATACTAAATTCATTAACCACAGTTTTTATGAGTGTTTCAAAAATCCCAGATCCCATGGATTCAGTGACTCCTGATTTCTTGTCTTTATCATTTCTATGAGTGCTGTCCCCAGGAGGTATGAAGACTGTGTTTTCTACTGGGAACAGAAATCTGTTATGTTTTTTATTTCAAATTTTCTGTAGCAAATACACTTAAATAAATCAACTTTAAATGAAATCATTGTTTTGTACAATTGTGTTTATATTCATCAGTTTATATTCATATATAAGTATCAAAAGATCTGTTGAATTAGAAAGTTATTGGGATTATATTGAGTAAGTAGAAGGGTGAAAGTGACTGATGAATAGTGTTTGGGATCTATATAAACAAGAAACATCATAAACACAGTCCTAATTTACTTGTCTTTTAGTAGTAAAAACAGCAAACTCCCAAGTCTTGTTCAGAAGACACTGTAGCCTATCTGTGAAAGTAGAATCCTCTGTACGTATTTAGCATTAAAATGCCCCTACATAATGATTATGCTCCATTTGGTAATAGACAACACCTTGCTCCTTCCCTAATTCCATGTCTGTGAGATCCAGACTCTGTGGATATACTCATTGGTGAAGTTGATACTGACAAGCAGCATTAGACAGATAACAAAAGACCCTTTAAGACAGACAGCTAAGACAGAATGTTGTGTTGATTAATAGTACCCTATTTGTAAGTTGTGATAACCATTCTAGTAAATGTAGAAACCTTATAGTAGTTGCTGTTAATCACCTGATAATTGCAGACAGTAATATCGGGCTTTGAATATTTTAAGGGGATTATCTAGAAAAATGTTTTTGCACTTTATTTAGTTAATTTGTTTAAGGGCCTGGGAAATTTTTCAATGGTGAGAGAATGTACTTCTCTCTCAGAAGGCCTGAATTTAGTTCTCACTGTAACTTCAGGTGTCTCTAAATTAGTGAAACTAACTACAGAGGTACTGGATGGCTTTAATCAGCACTGTCCCATAGGTGCCCATAACCACCAACCTTATTACATACACTTAATCGAAGTAATAATAAAGATATTTTTATATTTTTCATATATATTCAATAATCTTATGTCATTTTACATTAAACATAGTTAATGATACATGGTTTAATTACTGTGGAACACGTTTTATGTAACATTACATGGAGTTCCTTCTATGACATGTGTCCTGAAGGTGAGCTCAGGCTATCTGTTTTAGTGGGAAGAAATTTAACTGCAGTGTCATATCACTGGCCATAAATATCTATTATGGACTTTCATTTCTTTGTAAAGGATGACAGGCAAAAACAGTGAAAAGCCATTAGCCTACCAGTTTATTTAGTGCCTCCTGAATAAATAATCATTTGGTGAATATGAAGTGTATATGTGGTAACACTGTTTGAATAATTATAAATGATTTTGTGACATTATTACTGTGTTATGTAAAAAATATTCAATATAGTTTTCATATTATGTATCAACACATTTCCCCACTTTCCTCATTTTTCAATCAAGTTGAAATTTTGATAAGAGTTCTCTGGATATTGCATGTAGTCTTTTGTCTCTTCTCAGCTGTTCCTGAAAATTGAAAAGTAATAAGTTTTTTCTTAATATTACAGAAGGTTTGGATTTGATTACTGGAAGGAATATTACTTATTAAAGAGGATTCATTGCCCTATTTTGTTCTCTGTGAGGATTTGCACATGCAGGGTATGCAGAAACATATGTAGTTATACATATATCTAAAAATATTAAAACATTTGGAACGATTCAATACCCAAATGTAATTCAAGACCCCAATGTAATTTTTGAGATTAATCACTGCAAAGAACTTGAGTAAAATTCTCTCAGACTGCTCATTGATTATCAAAACTATCTCTTTGAGATAATGCCACTCTGTGAATTTACAATGAGTCAAAATGTGGGTCAAGGCATGAGGAGTTTTCTACAGGTACATATTCAACGATGATAATCTCATAAACGTTAACTTAGGCAAATATATTGTGCTTATGGTATTCAGTTTCCGACCCCGTCAGCATCCCATTGTAGAAGGTGGGAGTAATGATCAAATTGAAGGACTTATAACTGCCTCAATACTCACTTGTCTCATTAGAGATTTCACTTTCTGGGCAGGGCTTGCATTTAAAACAGCAGACGGCCATTCCATCCTGCCAGAATTTTCTGAACCCAGGACCACAATCAGCACTGCACAAAGAGGGTGGTGGTGTCTGAGGAAAATTAGAAACATGATGATACCAAAGGTTTTCCCTACACCTTTCATACCTATATTACATAGAATGTTTAGATATTGATAAGATAATTTCATATATACCAATTGTGATCACAGTATAAAAAGTAAGGATTCTAAAAGACATAAAGTGGATTAAATAAAAAATTCTAGTATGCAGACTAGTCTTTCACACTACTTGTGAAGCATTTATTTAAGTGGTAATGTGTAGTGTTGTCCATAAGCAGTGCGTTATGGTAAATACAGAACAGCAAGACAATCAGCAGTGTTTTTACGGACTATGCTTTAGCTGCCAGCTGCGGACTCCTGCATAGTCTTCCTTTGACTGTAACCAATGAGACAAATCTAACATTTCCCCTAAATTTACTCATGGTCAGGGTTTAATCACAACAGCAGAATAGCAAACTAGGATGAATGGGCATCTGAAACGGGAAATATCTCCTAAAATCTCAGAAAACACACATTAACTACAATGAAAGAGTACTGCAAAGAATGAAATACACAGTGTGAAGAGCAAAGAGCTCAATAGGCAGAACCCAGTGTATTTTGTTATGAGGAATTGCTGACTTGATGTGTAGTGGTCTGGAAGGTAAAGTATTTCCCAATGTGAAATGTCCACCAAAACTATAAATGCATGGGTAACCTGAATAAAAGTTACATTGTTCAAAGTTATTTGAAAGATTTCTTAATTTAAAAATGTATACACTATCCTCGATTACTATAAACCTGGTGAAGGGCATCTATATGTAACACTAGAGGGGTCCTGATTCTTGCTTGCTCAGTTTGCATCTTTGGGTTTGTGTTGATTTCTATGTCAAAACAAAAGCATCTCCTAAGCACCGAATCATTTCATGTTCTCCACAAGTATTAAGAACTACAATGCTTCCTTTTCTGTTGTTGTTTTTGTTGAAGCAAGTCTCAGTGCATAGCTATGGATTGCATAAACTCTCTATCATGACTTATTTAATTCCTTCCTTTTTGTATGTCTATTCTCTTATTTTATTGCTTACTTTGATAAAACTTTATGGACTCCGAATAAGCATGAAGACAATGAATGGTATTATCCATTTTCTGCTCATTTCACTTAAGTTAGGTGTTACTTATGGATCTCTGTATTGCTTGAACACCTCATGTAGTTAAGTTTTACTACAAAAATAGAGTACCAGATTCTTTGTTCAAAGAGTTTGAATTAAAGACATATATCCCAAACACACATGACTCCATCTGAATTTCATGCATATTATTTGAGTTTTCTCTCCATGTGGTACAATGCTGTCAATATGTTTGTCACAGAAAACACTAACACATCAAGATGTGCTCATTGCAAACTGTCCGGCTTTGTTTCATAAACTTTTTCCAAAGGTTGTGCCGTATTAAGTGTCCTTTGTGCACAATTACAGATAATAATTGAATTGTATCTTTGTGTTTATTCATGTGGTATTTTACTCTTAAATTCTGTACATCTTGAAGCATGCTTGATCCTTGGATAGAAGTCATCTTGGTTGCAGAGAATGATCTTTCTGCTGTGCTGTTGAGATCTCTTGAGAGGTGTTTAGTACAAACTTATTACATGCATGTCCATCCAAGATATTGTTCCCGGGATTTACTTTTTTCAATTTCCCTTCATAGCAAAGATTTTCTGCCTTTTATAGAAGGTTTCTCAATATTTTCCCCATGAAGGTTAAAAAAAGTTTGTTTTTTTAAACAATTTTATTGTCTGTGCATTTTGATTAGAAAATGTGACCACTAACATTCAATTCTTAATGAAAAATATTTGTAAATTTTGGGTTGTTTTTTGATATTGCAATGTTTGATATTTTTCTAATAACTTATTTTCTGACTGTTGTTCCAGTGATGGCTGAAATTCCTTTGACCACTTGATTTAATCCTGATGTTTTGAGTGAAAGATTTCTTCAAGTACTTTCATAGTCTTGATTCATCCATTATGCAGTCTGTAATTTTTTGCATTAGTGATTTTTTTCTGTCTCTTTCTATAGTCAAGGGTAATTTTGCTTGGCGTAGTAACCATGATTGGCAGAATATGTCTCTATGTATTTGGAATATGTCACTTTTACTCACCCTCTTTCAGAATATTATCAGCAGAATCTGCTGTTATCCAGAAGGACCCTTTATACAAGTGGAACTTCTCACCTGCAGTCTTCAAAGTTATACTTTAGAATAAAATTTTAAAACAAAATAAATCCAGGACTCCTTTTCTCTAAGGTTGAATCTTTGGTATTCAACTGAATATTGTATCTAGATGGCTCCTCTTCAGAACATGGTTTGTAAATTTGATCTTTAGACATATTTCCTTGATTTCCTAGTTTTTTCTTTTGTATTATTTTCATCATATTTTGAATTCTCTGTTCCTACTCCTGTACTTCAAGTCGCCCATCTGTCTTTAACTTAAAGCATTTTCTTGGTACATATTTTAACTGAAATTTTATTTGATTTTTTACTTTACCTTTATATGATTTAAGTTGAAATTTTTTATTTTGTACCTTTAGAGTAATCCTTTGTTACATGATCGTTAAGTGTCTAATTGTGTGCAAGATAACATCATCTCATTGTTTCTCCAAGAAGTGATTTGTGTCCTCTTAATTTTTTCGGGAACACTCTAATAATCATTATTTTATTTCCTTGATCTACTTTAAGTTTATTAATGTAAGATTTGAAGTCATGCTGCTTTGATATTGTCCTGTATATTTGTGTATGTTTCTGCACTTTAATTTTAATTTCTGAAAGCAGAACACTGGTTGAATTGTGTTTAATCCCCAGTATTCTTTCTGCGTATGTGTTTACAATGCTCAGGTGAGGTGTGGGTAGTAGAATAGACATGCACTTTCACTGCTGCCCTCGGTATTGATATGCAGATCAGTAGCTACACCTTCACCTTATGTGTTCTTCTCCCTGAGTATGACCATGCTCACACTTGGGGAAAGTACAAAAAACCTAAGTTTCATACTATCAAGGAAAACGGATATATCACTTCAGGTTATGTTTGAAGACTTTGCTGAAATCACAATCTTTACAAATCAACTATTTTGTACACAGCAGTTTGAATTGCATACCTTAAAGCCACACGTATCTCCTCTATAAAATACTCATGATGAATAATAAATTATTTCATTTGTAAATTTCATGAAAACTGAAATTTTTAACTAGCAATGCTCCAAATAAGGGAAAGAAAACTGGACACTCTCTTATTAGTTTGAATGAATCATAAAATAATTAATGGGAGCAAGCAAACTATTGATAGTGACTAAATACTTCATAGTGTAGTGATTAAATTTTTTATATTGTAGTATTCAGAGTTGTTGACATGACTCAGAGTTAGGTATTAATTCCTATTCAAGAATAGGACGCAAATTTGATTCCTACCAGTCACTGTGTAGAACTAAGCTTTCTGCATTTCCTAGGATTCAAAAAAGTCTTCTGTCATATGAGCCACAGTCATAGCCGATGTAAGGATACATGAGGACACCCATACACACCCAAGAAAAGAATTAAAAACCAAGGTAACAATTCACATAATATATAAAATGCATCCTAAAATATTAATTTATGTTTACAGGTGCTGACAATTAAGGAATTTCTTGTCTAAACATTTAAAAATTTAATAACAAAATGCGTGCTTTTTGTATTTTGAATTTACTTCATCATTACAACAATCTAACTTTTCCACATCTGTGCCCAAGATTCAGCCCAAAGATTTGACTGTATGGTAATCAGTATCCTACCAAGAGAATATTGCTCACTTTACTGGAAATTATACTAAATCATTTTGGAAAACTGATTTATATTCATATAAATAAGCAGTATCAGGTTTGGATATGATGAAAATCCATGGTATGCATGCTGAAAATTCTCAAAAAATTAATAGTGTCACATCAAAAAGGAGAATATGAGAAGCAAAGTAAGAGGCTTGATAATGGTATATAATATGACACTTTATTATATAAAGTGTTAAGGAATCAGAAATGTTCCCACTTGACAGTGTCACTGCTGTTTAATGGAAATCTGTACAATTTTATCAGACCCACCTTTGTATTTCCTGTGGCCCACTCTATCATATCTTCATCTACATGGAACTGTTGTCCATGTGGGAAGTATGGACTATAATGTCCTATCTTCACTTTAAATCTAAGATCTTGTGGGTAATTCCAAATCTGGAAAATGTCATACTCTTCCTGATGTTCTTCTTTGTGGTTCATACTCACTCTGCCCCCAACAGGATTTGTGAATTCTGTCCTCTTCAGAAATGCATTCAGCTGCAAGACAGACAGCATCCTATATTGTGTTTGCCCTTCATTGAAGAAAAAATTCTCATTTTAATTAAGGTCAACATTATCGCTGGTACCCAGGGGAGAAATTTCAGTGAAAACAAATGGATAATAAATATTATACTAGAGTTCCTCAAATATTAGTTCCCTCAGAGACACACATGCAGACACCAAACAAGGTATGCAACACACAGGCACACACAGACTCACACATGTAAAACACACACAGAGACTCACATACATCCAGAGATACACACAAAATGTAGCCATATACTTTTTTGACAAACATACATATACATAAATGCCCTGCAATTCCTATAAATATGCAGGCAAACATACACAGGCATGTAAATCCAAACATACATACAAAAACACCCACAGAAATGTACACATACACAGATACATAAAGGGAAAAAACACATATACAAACACCAACAGAAATAAGTATTGAGAAACAGAAAAGCATACCCACACATCAAAACAGAGACAGACACATACATATACATACAGACACAACAATGAAATATGTGTGTGTGAAATCACATAGATGTAAATGTGCAAATATATGCAAAGTCTCATGCAGACACAATCATTGCCAAACACACACAGGTAGAAACACACAGGAAAAATACCCGTAGTGAAAGACACAGACAAATTCCACAGGAAGACATACAAATACTCACAGGAACATATATAAAGACATATACACACACAGATGAACATAAAAGTACAAACATGCTCACATGTACAGTGAGAAACCTCTGGTACATATACTTAGTAAACTGAGTCACAACACCATCGCCTGTGCAATAACTATCAGAATGCCAACTATGGGCACCAGAGCTGACAGTGGGTGAGTAACAGTTGAGAACACTTGCAAATATCACCCCTCCACACACTATTTACCACATTATTGATGATTAATGTGCAAAAATCACATGTAATGACAGAAATTTTCCATGAGAAAAGACTGATAATGTTTACAGTATTAGAATGGGTGTGATGATATTCTCTTGCTCAGTAACAAAATCACTAGTTGTCTTTTATGCATTTTGTCTTGTGCTCCATTGCCTTTGCACTAGAGAATTCTACCAAACTCTAGATTTACTCAATAAGAAGAAATGAAATTGCTCAGAATTTATTTTGGGCAAAATACTTCCTAGTCCACTGAGTTTGGGCATCTGAAATACTCCAAAAGATATGATATGGCTGACCCCATGTATTATCCAACTGAAGAAATACTACCTTCCAGCAGCTGGAACCAGCTCCTTTCCCTTTGTCCATTGGCTGAGTATCTACTTCTTGTAGATTCACCTCATGAAGTGCATGGGCCAAAGCATACACAGCATTATATATGTCATAACAGCCATCACTAAAGGTCATGTCAAAAGTCTGTGCCAATAGCCATTCCATCGAGGTATTCCATGAGTATTTCTTCAGTGTCTTACAGTTGGATGTAGAAACTTCACAGTTAAAGTTCATCCATTCCATCCTTGCAAGGTATTCATTTGTGTTTTTGATTGGGTTCATTGTCTGGACAAAACTTTTAAAACCAGAAATATCGCCATGATGGTGAGCAAAAGCTAGAATCATTTGGGCTGTATGAACCGTGAAGTTTGTTTTACTTGCAGTTACATCCCACTGTGAGGTGATAACCCATATTCTCTGTAAACCTTGGGATTCCCACATTCGAAAGCTCACAACAAGAGTACTCTCATAGTCACCGTAAATGATAACAACATTTGCCGATGATGTCTTGATTTGGTTATAATATGCTTCAGCTCTTGACATGTATAACTGCATGTTGATTGGAATCATACTTACAAAGGCAAGGCAGACTATGTATTTTTCCAACTCTCTTCTCAAATATGAGAGAAATTGGGTGCCCTGATCATTGTCAGAGATGACCAGCCCCACCCAGTTCCATCTGAAGTGAATTATGACAGAGACCATTGCCAATGCTAGAGATGTGTCTTTGGGGGCCATTTGATAAAGATTGGGATAATTTTCATGGTCACTTAGTATTGAATGGAAGGATCCATATGTGAGTTGAATGATCTAGGATGCAAAGATAATTATAAGATACCAAGATCTCCGAAGAACTTGACAACACATTTTTTCTGCACAGATTTCTATAAAAGCCCCTGGGATAATCCCCTTAGCTATTACATCTTCCCTATCTTTATTTGAAGCAAGGAAATGTGAGCAGCCCATAATTCTCTGAAGAGTACTCTTGAGCTACGTAGATTGACATTAATATAAGCGCAGTCCCCTCTGAATATAGTTTTTATTGTCTGGTAATGGGACAACATTTCATTCAAAAACAAGCCATAAAATTCTTACCTGTAGGGATTTCCAGAGGTACATGAGATTCAGAAGCATTGCAGATGTTTCCCAGTTAGGTCCTGTAATTATCATATGACATATATCTTCCACACAGTAATAATTGGGCAATGTATCAGGGTCTTGTTCATTAATATAACGGAAACTGTACAACTTAGACACACTTAAGCAATTATCTTCATAGTAATCAAATACCAAAGATCTATTTGGTAATAGATCAGGATTCCTGTTGACCTCATCCATTGTAAAAGCCAAGACGAATGCAAACCTGTTGCTCTCAGTTGGTGTTCTGTAAAAGGGTACAGGTTTAATATGGTTAGAGATCAAAACATGATTATTTGTAGTCAATACAAGGACTGCTTTGTAATGAAAACAATTCACAACCTCCTTCAAATATTATAACAAATGTCTTCTGTACTGAAGTTGGAAAGACCTAAGAACTTGAAAACATGCAAACTCTTTGAAATCCATGGGGATGGATCTCCCATAAATGAGATGCTCTATTGACATCCAACACAGAAAGTATTTTCCATCTCTAGTTTGTGAGTTCTTCCTCAGAAGATAGATTGACCAAATAGAAAAACAAGCCATCTTTATATTAAAATTATTCAGTAACATGAAAAAATGCATATGTTGAGTTAGCTAAAGACTTTATTTAACTTCCTCATGAGAGTTACTCCAATGGCTAAGATTGACCAAGAATCACAGATTAAAACAAAACAATCTTCATTGGGCAATATTTGCCTATGGATTTACAGTTCATGATAAATAGTGCACAATATAGTTAACATACACTCTCATATCCATAAAATCTGGCTCATGTTATATTTCAGGTTTAACTGTTGCAGACAAAATTATTTTTAATACTTATTTTTAAATAAATTTAAGCCAAAAGACATATTTGGTTAAAGATTTGGATGTCTTCTTCCATCTATGTGTTTGTCAGGATCAATGCAATCTTTGGACATAAAAGGGCACAAATCCTTTACTTTTGAATTAGAATTACCTATAGTCTGGTATATCCCCACTATAATATCATTCAATAATTTCATGTGTTTATGTTTATGGGAACAATGACAACTCATGTTTTTTCCTAGTCATTTTATATAATATGATGAATATACATCAAATATGTTACTTTATTTGAATGATTTATGCAGATTTAAATTCAATCTGCTTTTTTAATTTAGGAATTGTAAATCTCATATCTTGTATATAAAATTGGCATTTTACAAATGTACCTTAACACCAAAGACAAAATATCATTGTAATTTTCAGTAAAAAAGGTATTTGAGAATACATATTATGCAAATTAAAAACTAACTTCACTACACTGAAATTAAGAAACATCAGTGACTAGAGCTCTCATATTTACCTGTTGAACTGAAGTGCTGTCTTTTAAACCAACTATCTGCATTCTACAAGATCAGCATGTATATAGAGCCTACATTTTTAAAATGTGCATCTGTATTTAGAGAAATTTAAGAGGCAAGTGAGATATAAGTTTCAGATAATAAACAACTTATAAATAAAGAAAAAACACATGATACATAATTAGGGTCAAAGAAGAGTTAGTAGGTAACTACTCTCCATTTTCTCAAGTTTGCCAAACACCATATGGCACAGCTGTAACTCAGGAAAGTGACAAGGGAAGTAACAAACCATCACTCTTAATTGTAGCCACAGTTTTTAAAGATTGCAAACAGTCATTTATAATCCATATATTCCTTTCTTATTGTAGAGGAAGGGTATAGAACTAGACTTTTAATAGTTAAACATCAGTGGTTGTCCATGTGCATAAGTAAAGTATGGAGAAATAGGTAGACAAATGGAACTCATGAAAGACAGATCCCCTACATATATTCTCAAGTCTGCTTCATGAGGCTGAGTGGCCACAAGCAAAGAATTTGAGTGAGTTCTTAATAGCTAAGTAAAATGTCTTTGCAGCTATGTGTGGCACAAATATCTGTGGTCCTTACACAAGCACATACTGATTAAATGACCATCAGTGTATTCTAATGCAATTTAGTTTCATGTTCTTAGGATGAATTTCATTGAAATCATATTGGTTTTCATTTGATGAGATATTATGGGCCACTGAGTTATGAACAATTTCAAAGGGAGGGCTCTTTGTGATGGATCATGGTAGAGACTGCTTCCTTCTTTTCACTTCCAGCCTTTAATTTGGGAGGATAACTGGAAGAAAAGTAGAACACACACTGAACAAATAAAAATGTTAAAATAAGAGAGAATCTTTAAAATAACTAGGGATCATTGGATGGTATGCAGGTTCAGATAACAGGACAGAAAATTCCAGGCCCATCTTGAAATTCTCATGATAACATTGATGTGGAAACTACAAAATGACTTACTGTGTGTTCAAAATTTGTTTGAAAAACTCTTTATCCACTGGCCACGACACAGTTCTTGGGAAGAAGATGCAACCTCTCTTCAAGTCTCCATCCTTTTCTTCACTATGCTTCATTTTCCAAAAACAGCTGGGATTTGTGAAACTGGCCTTGACAATTGGAATGTTCAGGAGCAGCAAGAGGAAAATCAAAATGAACATCTCTATCCTGTGCTACACCAGGGCAGCATGATTTGTTAAGTGGCACGTGAAGAGCAACATTAAATGTTCACACACTCTTCCTACCTGCTTTTATTTCTTGGGCAAATGAGATGCTTTTTTGTTTCTGTGATTCCTTTTACTCCCAGGTGTTTCTTCAACCCTGGAGGAATATTGGAAAGCGTCTTCCCTGGGACTATGCATCTGGGGTTCACAGTGCTTTCAAAAAACATGGATTCATACTTATATAAGGGGATAGTTCAGTCTCTCATCCCATGACATCACTCATGTTTGTGATTATAAGGCCACTGGGAGTAACACATTTTTTAGAAATATTGGTCTCAAAGCTACCTCACTTTATGCGAACACATTTAAAAATGAGGTGAGTGTATTTTCTCAATGACACACAGGGATTCCATAAATTATTGTTCCAAGAGGGAAACACATGTAAGAATTCATGGTTTAACATCAACAAGTCCATGCCAGCGCTGGGCAGCCTAGTTTTTAGGACATCTGACATCCATAGAATATTCAATGTGACTTATGTTACACCAGTAACACAGAATGTTCAAACAAATCCTGTGCTTCTATTGCCTAGAAAATCTAAAATCATGCCAAATAACAAAATTCCTGAATACTCTTGTATCCAAAAATATCCAACACATTATATAATCACAATTCATCTACAGGTTCAATGTTGATTTTTAAATATTGAAAAATATCCAAAGAAAAATACCAGATTTTTGTGCCTTACTTAAAATATTGCATCAGAACTATGACTCCTCTGGCCAACCAATTATTATATATATTTAAATATATATATATATATATATATATTTAATTTAAATTAGAAACATGGTTGATTCACAATTCAATTCCATGTCCCTCTCTGTTTCCCTCACCTAATCCTGTGCCACCCAGCAACCCTCCAAATATCCCATCATTTCCCCAGGGAGGGTGAGGCCCTGCCTGTGGGTTTCCATATTCTGTCATTTCATCCAGGGCTAGGCCTAGACCCTGCCTCAGCATTTTAGGGTGAGAGTGCCTCTCTTATTTTTGGATGTGAGTCCAAGGTCCATTTGTATAACTGGGATAAATACTGATCTACTACCCAAGGCTCAATAGATTACCTAGGCCTGCTCACTGACACCCACATTCAGGGGGTCATGATCAGTCCCATGCTGGATTCCCAGCCATCAGTATGGGATTCTAGAGTTAACCCTTGTCAGGTCAGCTGTTTCTGGGGAATAAACCACACCAGTATTAATGTATTTGGTCATCAGTCCTCCCTCTCTGTCTTTGGATTTCTTGAGTTTAGCTCAATGCTTACGCATGGGAGTATGCCTCTGCTTCCATCAGCCATTGAATGAAGGTTCTGTTTCCCAGAATCTTCTCTGGCCATTAGATTGTAGGCTGGCACTCCAATGATCTACATCTAAAATCCATATGTGAGAGAGTACATGCCATGTTTCTCTTTTTGTGACTGAGTTACCTCGCTCAGGATGGTTTCTTCTAGTGCCATCCATTTGCCTGCAAATCTCAGGATTCCATTGTTTTTCTCTGCTGAATAATACTACATTGTGTAATGTACATTTTTTTCTCTATCCACTCTTCAGTTGAGGGGCATCTAGGTTGCTTCTAAGTTCTGGATATTACAAATAATGATTCTATGAGCATAGTGGAACAGACATCCTTGTATGAATGGGCATCTTTTGGATATATGCCTAAGAGTGGAGATGCTGATTCTTGTAGTAAGTTTATTCCCTATTTCCTGAGGAATCTCCATAATGATTTCCAAGGTGTCTGTCCAAGTTGGCACTCCCACCAACAGTGGAGGAGTGTTCCCCTTTCACCACATCCTCTCCAGCATAAATTGTCGTTGGTGTTTTTGATTTTAGCCATTCTGACAGGAGTGAAATGCTATCTCGGTGTTGTTTTGATTTGCATTTCCCAGATGGCTAAGGATGTTGAGCACTTTCTCAAGTGTCTCTCAGCCATTTTTGACTCATCTATTGAAAATTCTCTATTTAGTTCTGTAGCCCACATTTTAAATTAGATCCTTTGGTGTTTTGCTTCTTGAGATCAATGTAAATTTTAGAGATCAGCCCTCTGTCAGATGTGTGGTTAGTGAATATTTTTTCCATTCTGTGGGCTGCCTTTTTGTCTTGCTCACTGTGTGCTTTGCCTTACAGAAGCTTTTCAGTTTCAGGAGGTCCCGTTTATGAATTGTTGATCTCACTGTCTGTGCTACTCCAACAAATCATTATTAATGATAAGACAAATTGAGAATTTTTGTTCCAAGCAACCATCTCCCTCTCTGATCATAAGTTTTCCTGGATACCTTGTGATGATTAATTTTTTCTACTTTATATTTGATTTTCTACATTGTTTTGCTAATTCAAATTCCAGGAGTGATTTGAAGAAGACCTGTGCTGAGTGCCTTACTAGGAAATAATAAATGTGAAATGACCCAGTGTTGAATGTGAAAAAGCTTATTTCATTGCCCTAGTCTGCTACACTATTTTGTATTCTAGAGTCTTAATTGATGTTGGTAGAGTGGACTGATGATATATTTTATGTATTTTCTTCTCCTTTGTTTCTCATGGTGTCTGATCTCCCATTTTGTGAAGAGTATGCAATACTCAAATAGTACCTGTTTTACTTTATCTAAATTATTTGTATGTCATAATTGTGTGTGTTTGTACACATAGAGATAGATAGGTAGATAGATAGACAGAGAGACAGAGGGAGGAAGAGAGAGAGATTCAGACAGACAAGTGTATAATCAGACTGATAGACACAAACTATTTCATCTAGAGTTTCTGAAAAGACTTAAGTTCTCAAAGCCAATTCTTGAGTTCAACAAGTTTATTTCCTATTCTGTTCCGTATTCCTCTAATGATATCATTAAAATCTTCCAGGGTGAGGGCAAATTTATTGTGTGTATATACCATCTGAATGCATTTTATTTGACTTTTAATTTGTCTAGTTGAACCATGTACCCAGGAATATTATGCATTTAACTTCATCTTTAGTTCCTAACATGTATGAATTACATACAATTTCTTTATTGAATCTTCTAAATATTAGGTTGATGCAGTTAAAAATCACTCTGTAAATATTTATGTGAGATAATGCATTGAATATAACTCTCCAAATTCTACAGATGATAGTAAAAACCAATAATGACTATATGTGTGTGAAGTAAATAAAAAATTAAATGATATCTGTTCTTAATTTGATCATTTTATGGCAAGCATCAAAGTTGATTCCATATCATTCATATTATGAATAATGCTGAAGGAAGCGTGGCAAGTGTCTATGGCTATTCTGACTTATGTACATTCAGAAAGTCCCCTTAGAAATTTGGATGGACCATAACATATTTGCACTCTTTTATTTACAATATCATCGGTATACTGCTTACTACAGTGGCTGCCTCAGTTTCAACTCACAATAGATATGTTCTGGGAATTCTCCAAAATTCACACATGCTTATTAATTTTTAGTCATCTTTTGATGCTAAACATTCTTTCTCTGATGATGGACTCTCATTTAAACTATGATTTTCATCTTTCATATCTAAGGCACCATAATGTAATTTGATACTCATGGAATTTTGTATAATTTCAAAACAGGAAGGTTAAAGTATAACACTGGTTGTACATATATGCACTGTGGAGCTAGAGTCATGGCTTCAGTAGACAAGGACATTGACTGCTCTTCCAGAGGACCTGGGTTCCATTCCCAGAAACCACATGGATGTCCATAAGCATTCATATATTCAGTTCTAGAGGATCAAACTACTACCTCAAAGATAGACAAAGCAAATCAACATGAGGAAATGAACCCCAAGAGAAACACAAGAACCCTATGTTCACAAACTCACAAAGAAATGTCATAAAAACACTAACACGAAATGAATAATATATATGCCAAGGATCTGATTAGACCAATATAATCCCTGTGATTTATACTTCATTCTCTGTGTGTTCATATAAATTTTGGTCATTATACTACCTTGTTCTCCTGGTATCATCCATTTCCTTTGGTTCCCACATTTCTCCTGGCTCCTCTTATTTGAGCTCTGAGGGGAGGAATATGATCATTTCAACCTACTTAGAGGTGTATTCCCAAGGTCTTTCAATCTCTCTGCATAATGTCTGGTTGTGCATCTCGGTGTTTGTGCCTGGCTACAGGAGACAGCCTTTCTTTTCATGTCTCAATACTTTCTGATTTAGGAGTATTGTAAAGGGAAACCTTTTCTTTGAGAGAAGCCTTCCCGCCAGCCTGGTTCTAGAACTGCATCAATCCCAAATAAACACACAGGAGGCTATATTAATTATGAAGCTGTTGTCCTTACTTGTTTCTTACTGGCTAGCTCTGACTTAAGTAATTACCCCATGATTGTTAATCTAAGTTTGTCTCTTACCGGAGAAGTTTACGGGCTTCCTACCCCATGGTGTTACATCTCGACTCTCCTTGTGTTTCTCCTACCCAGAGTCCTTCTGGACTCTTAGTCCCTCCTATCTTGGCTCCCTATTGGCTCAACAGTTCTTTATTGATGTAATCACAGGACTTCCCCAACAGAGTATATCAGAGTTCTTGTAAGAGTCATTTTATCAGAACATTTTTTTCTTACACAAGCAGTATTTGGATTTACCCTAGTTCACTGGACTAGCTTCTCTGCTCTAGGTCATCTAAGGAGTGCCAGAAAAGGGTTCTGTCTTTTGGAGTGTGACTTAAGTCAAAATACACATTGTATGATTACTCTCACAATTATTGTGCTACCATTGCCATATAATATTTGTGGTGAGGAATGATTATACGTTCAATGTTTTATGGCTGGTTTGGTGTTAATGTTTCTGTTCTGGTACACTGTAGAATACCTTCCAATACCAATGACTCTAGAACATGGTGGCAAAGTTCTAAAGTAGGTAACAACTTGACATTTAGATTTTATTGAATTCTGTATGTATAGTCAGGGTGAGTTTCCATGTCTG